AACTATTAAATATTGCATTTAAATTATAATTAGTAGATAAAAATAAACTAGAAATGTATAAATAAATGAGAGAGAGAGAGAGAGAAAAAAAAATACTAAAATCGACAACCAAAACTTCAACTCCATTTTTTAAATATAGGGAAAACTATTCATATATCCAAAAATAGATATGAAAATGGGATGGGGTTTAAGGAGAACGGGGAAAAATGATAATAATAAAAAAAATGAAGTTTGGGATAGATTGAAAATGTCCTAACAACTAAGCTACAACAAATATCTCTCTTATAAGACTTTTAATATATTTGGACTCCTTAGTTTAACTTAGAACAAATTACTGAAATCGTCCCTATGGTTTGGTTAAAATTATGTATTTGGTCTCTAACTTTTGTTTTGTACTCTGACCATCCCTGTAGTCTCTTTTTGTTATGATTTTTGTCCTTGTGGTTTAGTTAAAATTACGCATTCGGTCCTTAGTAGACATAAAAAGACTATTATACCCTTACCAGATTTTATTTATATTTAAAAGAATATTAAAGATTATTTCCTAAAACTATTTTACATATTATTAAAAAAGTTAAATCCCACGCATCCCCACCACCCCCAGTTAACTTCTTCCCTTCTACAACTAGAAGCCATCGACCATCGTAGTTCAAGCCATACCTCTCTCCCCTAAACTCAACCTTAAAGCTCTGATGTTCACCTTAACTCCCTGTCGGAGCCGCCTCCTCCCAAAATTTGCAAGTTCTAAACTCGACATCGTCATCAGTATCATGTGAACACCACCACCGGAAGCCTGTAACTGTAACGCCTCAAGAAATCTAAAACTCTAAATTCGTCGAAAACCTGCACCTCCTTTGTTCTTCTCCGCCATCGCAGGTTCCCATCTAACTGCAACTCTGTTAGAACCCTATTGTGGGTTTAATCCCATTGTGTTTAATGTGAAGATATCATCGATTTGAGGTTAGGTTTTGATTTTAGGATTTGACTTTGGTTAGGATTTAATTTTGGGATTTGATCTTGGTCTGGTTTTGCTTTACGGGATTTGATCTTAGTTTTGCTTTGATTTTGATTTTGGTCTCGGTGGTGATTGATTGTGGTTGCAGGAGGTAAATTATGGTTGTTGTAGGAGGTGAACATCGTGGTTGCTGGAGGTAAATGGGGTGTTACGTGATGAAATCGATGATGTGGGCGACCTGAATAGGCGGATGGTGTTGCCGGAATAGGTGAGTGGTGGTGGTGGTGGAAGAATATGTGGGTGGTGATGGTGATGACTGGTGGTTGCCTGGTTGTAATGATATGAATGTGTCTATATGGCTATAACAATTGTCAGGAAAAGGGAATGGAGGTTACCGGAGGTGATAAGTGAGGGGTGGGCAGGTGGTGGCTAGCGGTCACCGGTGGTAGTTTCCGGGGGCTGGTGGGTTTCAGATGGTAGTAGGCGGTGGTTAACATAAACAGGTGGTGGTAATAGTGGAACCTATTATATTAATTCATCTTTTAATTAATAAATAATAATAACAAAAAAAATAACAAAAAAATGAAAAAGAAAATATAAAGGGCAATATAGTTTTTTTATTTTATGAGGGACCAACAACGCAAAATATCAAACAGTAAGGACGGTCCGAGTGCAAAACAAAAGTTAGGGACCAAACGTGTAATTTTAACGAAACCATAGGGACGATTTCAGTAATTTGTTCTTTAACTTAAAAGAATAAAATTTACTTTGGCACCCATGTGCACTTTAAACTCTTTTGGACAAAGTCTAATAACATGAAATAAATAAAATAAACAAAATTTCACTCTGCTCCCCATATCTTTATGGGATGTTGTGCGTTTTAAACTCTTTTTGGACAAAGCTTGGCCATATCTTTATTGGATGTTATGCGCTTTAAATTTCACTCTCCCACCCAACCCGAACCCAACCCAACATTAGTAGGTTGGGTTGAGATTTTCAATCCACTTAGGTTAAATGGGTCAACCCGTCTAACTCATTTAATTAAATAGGTTGGGTTGGGCAAAAGTTATCAACTCATTTTCAATCCACCAACTCATTTAACTTTAATATAATTTTAATTTAATAATCATTTAAATATTATCATGTATTAATCTAAGTATTAATGTATAAATTACAATGTTGTATTGTCATTTATTTAAAAAAAAAAATACAATCCTAAGTCTTATCTTTTTTTTTACGCCGACAACACTAGTCACTCTTCAAAATCACTTCGAAATTACATATCCTTAATTTTATTTGAACAATTTCTTTATATTTGTGAATTAGGATTGTGTTTTTATTATATTTTGAAAATTTATTCAAGTTTAGAACTAATTTAAGTAGTGTAATTTTTAGTTATTTTATTTACTTTTTTATTTTGAATGAGTTAACCCATATTTAACCCATTTACTTAATAGGTTGGGTTGAAGATTATATAAACGGATCAACCCGATAACAACCAATTTATCTGAAAGGTTAGGTTGGATTGGAAATATCCACCTATTTAAATAAAAAAATTGGGTTGGATTGAAATATTCAACCCAATTAATAAATGGGTTGAACCTGAACACAATCTAAATCGACCATTACGAGCTCTACGATTACCAACATCAAATTATAGAGTAAATGAATTTAAATTTATTTACAGATTAATTTCTTGTTCCCTTATGCACAGTAAGTTAATCCTATTGGACCACCATTAATTTTTCTTTTCTTTTCCGATCGGTGGTCTTTCCCGATGTTTCCCACCGCTTATCTTAGCTTTCTCCACACCGCCGCTCCAATCGATCCTTCCAGTTAATACAATGTGTGTGTGTTCGTCGGACTTCTCGATTCTTCCACCCACCGCCAAATAACCTCCTCCATAGAGGGTCTTTCTTCCATACCCACCGATATTATACGCTTCTTCTCCATTCATCGGCTTCTCTTTCTAAATAAATCGGTGTGTGCTTTTGGTTCGCATCTGGGCATCCGTCTTATTGGAAGATGTTTTGCTAAGGTTCGACATCCCCTGCTTCTCCAATTTTCTTATGTTTGTGTTTCCACTCGATAATTTGCTTATTTGATTTTGTCAGTTTAAAGGAACAAGTTTCATATAGCGTTCTTCTGCATAGTGAAGGGATAGAGAAACGGAAATATACAGACTTGAAGATTCGTCTCTTTGCTATCTTCTTCGTGATTGTTAGATATTTTTCTCGATAGCTTAATTTTTCAGGTAGTTGTTGATTTTGTTATTCATCTACTTATTCGGCGTCGCAGTAAATAAGGTTTTCTACCATTTTGGGTGATTATGTTTTCGGTTTCAGTTTCTTTGTTTTTTTCTCTTCTCTTTTTTCTTGGTTACGCTTCAAATTGTCACCAAAAGATTTCAGGTTCTTCTTCCTGGTGGTTCTTTTGTTTGATTTGGGTATCTATGTGTTGAAGGAAAAGAACATGTTTGGGAATTTTGCGGCCATAATTCTTCATCCTCTAATTCCACACAAATTAACAAAGTCAACAATCAACTTATATATTCTAAGTTTGGAAAATGACTTAAAAAGGCAATGAAGTTTCAAAAATGTACAAAAAAAACCTTTTTTTCAATACACAAAATACCATTTAAATACCAATGAAGTATACATGTGTTCAAATAAAGTCTTGTGGGTAACCTGGTATTCCAGATAACAGAAAAATGTCTTAAAAAGGTAACAAAGTTTCAAATTTGTTCAGAAAAAACCATTATTATTTTAGTATAAAAAATACCATTGAAATTTTCAAAATGTTCAAAAAAAACCATTGTTGTTTTTTCAGAGCATCTTTTGTTAACTTCGTTGTTTCCGGATTATATAGAACATAGTCGTCGGAGATTAGTCACCGTCTAACCAGTTCACACCAGTTGTGTACTATCTTTCATCCTATCACTCAATCAGTTTGTATCTAAATCCATATTTAGGAATTGTCAATGACAAAACGTCACACTCGTTTCTCCTTTGTGTCTCTCTTGTGCCGCAACACTAATGAACGGCTAACCTTGATTTATAATATGTGCATCTATATAACGTATATATGTTTTAGGTTTGAGTCATATAATGTGATCGGGAAGCAAGAATGTTTAACTAATTTATTACCCACTTACTTCTCTTGTTACCACAAGAACGATCGAGTGAAGGAATGAAAGAGATTTGCACAATTGTTGTGAACTGATATGACGGTTCATGATCCCCGGTAATTGTGTTCTATATAATCCGACAACAACACAGTTAACAAAAAGTGTGATATTTTTTTAAACATTTTGCAACTTCGTTACACTTTTAAGTCATTTTCTCATTTACCTGAAGTACCTGGTTAACACAATGTTTTAGTTGAACATATGTGTACTTCGTTGGTATTCTGTGTACAAATAGTAACATTAATGGTATTTTTTGTACTAAAAAAACAACAATTGTATTTTTTGAACACTTGGAAACCGGGTAACCTACAATAGCCGGTAAAATGGTATTTTGTGTACTAAAAAAAAACAATGGTCTTTTTTGTATATTTTTGAAACTTCGTTACCTTTTTAAGTCATTTTCCCTTCTAAATTTGATTTAGTCAAATTTTGTATATAGTGAAAGGGCAGTTTGGGGAATTGGTATGTAAAATCATTGTTGACACCCCTCCTTTCCGTTGTTGAATATACAAGAATATTTTACAGAGCATGTCAAATCTCCTTACAAATCGTGTGATTAAAGTCTGTATACTTTTTGTTCCTTGTGTTTCAGACAAATTACTTCAAAATCAGATCCATGGATGCTTTATGAGAAATTTTAGAAGAGCTGATCTAAGGTATTCCAATTTTAGTTCAAAATTGTCTTTCTGTGTTTTGGTTGAGGAGTTGGTCTGAGGCTTAGAATGTGAAATGATTTGAATTGCTTTATGAGTTTAACTCCTAATACTAAATTTTGAATTTACATAATTTATTCGACCCCGATAAGAAAAACTCCTAATACTAAATTTTGAATTCACACTTCGTACACAAAATCGTCACCCCACGCATTTTACTTTACTAATAAAACTAAAATCATTGTTACATTTCTAATTTCACAACATTCTAAAAGATATATCATTAGACTTTTTTTTTTAATAAAATTACCATCCGCCGATAATAATTTACAAGAAAACACCATCAATTTCCACATGAATAATGGCATTAAAGCTGTACATATCAAAATATTTACATTCATATAGTTTTGAATTTCGATGATTTGATCTGTAATCTCATCTTCATTTCTGTATCTTCAAATGGTTGGAAGTTGCATTCAAGCACCACCAAATTCCATGAATATTTCTGGATTTTTTTTTCATAACATCATCATCATCATTATCCAAAATTTAGAGGTGTAATACATGAATGCAAATGTACCTCAAAATATCCTATGGGTCATTTTTTGGCAAACGTAGCTTCAAAAGTTTGTCCCTCCACATGGCTACAGAACAAAAAAAAATCAAATCCTATTTAGAGATTTGTTTTTGAAACATTAAAAAAATTGCTAAACTATAAAAAAAAAATATTAAAATAAAAACCTGCATCACTGTATCTTTCATCCTTAACAGCAAGATTCATTTTTGTAACCAAATCAAGCTCCTCAGCAAGTACATCTGGACCATCTATGGCACTGTATAATGAAATTGTAACAGCCTTAACGACATGGAAGGGTATTTTTGGGATTTTAACTTTACAGAAAAGGAGAAAGGTGGAGGGTACACCTGTCCAAAAACACGTCGTATGTCGGTTTTTTATCGCGCAATTTGTTCACCCCGTAGACTATCTTAACAGCATCAGTCAAGACAATTTGTTTGCTTACATAAATCGGTGCCTGTAAGAGTGAGTCATTATCAGTGGATTTTAATATGTGAGATACAGAAGGTTAAAAATGTAAATTTATTATCCCACCCAAAAAGGTGGAACAAGATGAGACAGGGATATGGACAGATGTCAATGGGACAGAAGTTGTTATTTTGTGTAGGGCTCAGAAAAGGTGGAACAAGATGAGACAGGGACATGGACAGATGTCAATAGGACAAAAATGTAATTTTGTGTCCCGCCCAAAAAGTGGGACAGGGACTGATGTCAATAAGACAAAAACTGTAACTTTATGTATCATCCAAAAAGGTAGGACAAGGACTTGTCCTTTATCTAGCGTTTGTACAAAAAGACGTGAATGCCCTTCTTGTCTTCATTATCAAAGCCAACAAAACTAGTCCAATTATCAAAGGTGCATTTGGGTACCCTGCATCTTTTAGCTACATTTATGGCATCTGAAGGGCGAGCATCAACTCTAATATCTTCTGTGCCTGGCTGCAAGTTGTGAAATTCAATGAAGGTCAAAATGGTCAAATACTCAAATTAACTTCATCTCATCATAGAAAATTATAATCATGGGGTCGTATGTGATATGTTCTTTATTTACCTTATGAAAACATATATTCGCAAAATATATACTATCCACTCTTTCTGTAATTTGTACCATTTTTACCTAAAATAAAAAACAAAGGCAGCATTAGAGGAAACAAAAGGTCTTTTCCTACTTTAACTTCTTTCTGTTGCACCATTAAAATATTATATAAGTGCATGATAAATTCATCTGCATACTTCATAGCCAAGTTTCCCAACAATATTTTTCACAAGCTGAAAATGATTTGGAAACCCCTGCAGTACAACAAAAAAAAATTAATATAAAAATTCAATTGAGCTTCTCTTTGATTATAAACAACCTAAACCTCATCTTCCAGTGTGGAGCTTATTAGCTTTTCAACAGCATATTCCCCTACAATATATTAATATAAAGTGTTATTACAATTAACAATAATTGGATAAAACTTCAATATAACTGTGCATGATGAATGCATTTATTTACCTACGATAATTGGTAGCAAATAATCTCCATCACAATCACATGATATTTTAAGAAAGATAGTGGGATTTTGATATTGGCTAAGAAATTCTGGTCCAAATGTATGGATGTTGGTTCTAAGACCTTTTCCTTGACCAGATATTGGAAACAACCTTGCAGTAGGTTTCCAATTTATTGCTTCTTGATATCCTTGTATGCGCATCTGATAGTGCATTAGTGTTTCTGCACAAAAATAAAAGGAACCCAAGATTCATAATCATAATCCAAAACTATAGATTTGACTAAAAACATCAATTGTTACACTGTTTCCATTAATCCCAACCATTTTATAGACATATAGTATTTAATTAAAGAAAGTATAACAAATTCAACTCAATAGATTGAGCAACAGTGGACAAGAAGTATCCTATGTGGGACAGAAGTAACTCTTAGTTTCTTGTTTGTGTAAAAGACGTAAATGCCCTCTTGATCCTCATCATGGAAAATAGCCCTAGAAAGTTTGTCTTGTCCACATATTATCAGTGAAGTAGATAGGACCTTTGAACTTATAGTAGTTTTTTGCCAAGGATATGCTAATAATGTGTATGAATGGTTGTGCAGTAGATTAGGTAAGCTACTGTTGTAATTGGAAACCTAATAAATAACTCCAATGGCAATAGACATTATGTTAAATTGATAGTAATTTGATTAGCAATAGCATACAAACTGTTCGTGTTAAGTTAAAGTGGTAGAGCTCTGGTAATCTAATCTATTGCACAACCATTCATACATATTCCCTATACGATCTCATAAGTCACAAGTCTGAACATAAAACTCCAAACTATAAATCAGCAAATGTTCTACAGACTACACTATATAGAGTGCAGTTAGAATTTTACACACAGACGAAAGATAAGATTGAGAGGACTTTAAACAAGCGATACGACGACCTACAAAACTAATTCGTAAAATATGGAGAATTCAACTGAAGAAAATTAACTTCAAAGCTTCAAAGCAAAATAAAAATCTTTTAATCATCTAGATTGTCATCTGTCACATCAGATTCTGATAAAGGGACAGTGATACCTGTCATGAGAACAGAAGCTTCCAAGTAATCATCACCATCTTGATAGTCGTAGTCTTTAGATCTTCTACCACGAGAGGAATTACAAGATATGACGACCGATTTCGAGCGCCGGCGACGATAATGCTTTACTAAAGGAGTTGAATACGAAATTGAAGGTGATAAGCATCGGAGCTGAGTAGAGAATAATGTTTGATGATCGACGAAGTCGCCGGCTCCGGAGCTGACGAACGTGCGTGCACATAATTGAAGTCGGAGCATTGTACAAGAGAGATTCCGGTGTTTAGAGAGAAATGGGGTTGTTGGTGAGGTAGAAACAAGGTTCCATCGATCAAATCAGATCTTTATATATATATAAAACGTACGATCTTCTATTTCACATATACACGTGGTTTTCTATCTTATTCCAATTATTTGTGTATTAAAATACTTTAGTTCTCTTTACTCAAAATGGAAGTAGAAATAAAATATACAAAAAGATAAATAAAAAAAAGATTAATGATTTGTGTAATAACTTTCTAACAATTATTGGTGTGTATGAGACAGTTTGATTCGATTATTTGTCAAAAACGAACTATAATCATTAGTATTGATTAATGTATTTTGATAGTCACTAGTTGTGAGACCCATGTATTATATGAGTTTAATTAAAAAACAAACAAACAAACATGAAGATCTAACACATTAGAAGTTTTGAATTTATAAGAAAAAATAGAAAAATATTTAATTATTAAAATCCAAGTGTTTATTTATCTTATAAATTTAAACTAATAATTTTGATACATAATTTTTGGAAAGGGAACTTCCCTAACGAGGGTTTCCGGGCCAGCTTTCGCGCACCGACTAATCCCCCGCTGAAAACATGAGGCTTTGCCTCATGCCCTGGAGTCACTGCATGCGAACCTCCATGGCCACAAGGGCTGAGTGGTGCCAAGATTTGAACATGGGTCAATATGTTATCCACCATATCTTCCACATGCCTTACCAAGTCACCACAACCCAAGTGGTTTAATTTAGATACATAAACAATTAAAATAAGGGGATTCAATTTAGAAATTTAGAAATTATAAAGAAAATTGTATTAATGAATTGGATATGCATTTATTATTACATTTATTACATTTAAATATTATATGAAATTTAATAAAATGAAAAAAAAAACACAAAATGACATGAATATAATTTAATCTAAATTTACCATAAAATGATATGTGGCATAATGTATAAGAGGATGGCAAGTTGCAAAAATGGTTTTTATTTTTTAGAATAGATTGGGTAGCGGTTAATATTGGTCTTAGTTAATGGTTTTAGGCGGTTAATGGTTATGGTTAATGGTTAATATCGGTTAACCATACTGATCCAAAATAACATAAAAATATAAATATTTTTTAACATAATTGGAAAACATAAAGCCTATTACTATCAAAATTGAATGATTATGTATATATAATTATACTGATAGAAGAATATTTATTCTATTTGATTCCAAATAATTATCCTTTAAATATTCAATTCCTAATATAACTTACATACCATATATTTAAAATTATATTATATTAAAAACATTTATTAATATTCTTGGTTCGGTTCGGTTTATAGTGGTTATGTTTTAGATGAAAACCATAACCGAGCCATATGTAATCGGTTAATCAAAATTAAAAACCGCACCATATCTTTTAGTAATGATTCTGCTAAATTGGTTCGGTTATATTGATTAATTTGATTTTGGTTCGGTTTTTCGGTTAATATGTTCACCCTTACTAGCAAGGGTGTACATGATATGATGATAATGTATTAGCTTTTTTTAATACCGTATCAATCATAATTTTTTGGTAAATTTATCAATTGTATTGTATCATGTATAAGGCTATAAGGAATGCATCACAATGTATTTTACGCGTTTAGGGTTGTCACATCACACAAAATCCTTCCACCTCACAAAATATATCAAGTTATTAGTAATGTGAAATGGTGTTTAGCAGTAAAGAAGTACTGAGATAGAGGGGGAAAGAGAGAAAATAGATGAAAGAAGAGAGAGAAATAGATAAGAAGAGAGAATGAGAGAGATTGTGAAGGATCGTACCCTCACTTACGGAGCATCACAATTACTAAGCTTGGGGGTGGTGTTTGGAGCAAACTCACATGTGACTTGGCCTTGCCAAGTCACCTAACGCGTGGGTTTTTAACCCACTTCGCATAGCTTAAGGGGCATTGATAATTGGATATCCAATGTTTTTATAGAACCTATATAATCCAATCATCAATTAGATATTGAATATTGTTAATCGATCCAATCTAATTAACTCTAGTCAACCGAGCCGAACCGATCTAACTAAACATTAGATTAGATCGGTTTTGTCTATTGTATATTTATTTCGGTTATCCAATATATCTAATTGGATCCACCCGATGGATATACAATTTTTATCTAACTTTACATCCAATTACTATAGAGTGTGAACTGTCTAGTGAGAGGTCGAATGTTATTTTGGTATGTATAGGTGTGAAGTCTAGCACTTCGCAATGTATGTATTTTGCAAGGCATTTGTTGTATTGTGTTTTCACGTCTAGTCCTTGCATATTTTTTGAGTGTTTGTATCTACCTATAAATAGGGTTAGTATAGAAGTAGAGAGATAGCTTTTGGGCACTTTTGTTCTTACTCTCTCTCTTGTACTTTGTACTCATTCAGACGAATCAACGAGCCAAACAGAACTTATTTACTCCTTGTGTTCTTAATGCTTTCTGTGGTTGATTTCTTCTTCTAAACTCGAATCAAACGCTATTCAGTTGGTTTCAGAGCAGGATACATTCAGTGAATACTTGTTTTCTCGTCTTTTTCAATAGTATTTTAATCGTTCTTTCCGATTCAAAGATTTACGCACTATTGATTAATAAAACATGTCCTAATTAATTGATTTGTTTCGACTCTACAATTTGTTTGATAGATCGAGTGTTTACTGATAGTTTTCTGGTTGATTCATCCATTAGATCTCTTTTCTAAAATCATTCGTCACTTTTGTCCGTACGAAAATGGCGAATTTCAATATGAACACCATGTCAAGCTTTTCTCATCTGCTTGGATCTTCCACTAAGATTCCAATGCTTATTCCAGAGTATTATGAACAGTGGGCGGATCGTATAGAGGATTATCTCAACGGAATCGATGAAGATCTCTGGCGATGTGTTACTAGAAGAAATTATCGTCCTGAAATGTTTACTTAAGTTGGAAATGCAGGATCATCCACTGGTATGGCAACACAAAAGGAGAAGTATGAAGAAAATGATAAGAAGTGTCTTTGTGAACTTCGCGGTGCTCTTCCACCGGTTGTTTACAATTATGTTCGAGGATGCAAGACCGCAAAGGAAATTTGGGATACTCTAAAAGAAAAGTATCAAGGAAGTGAAAAGACCAAGAAGAGTTCTGTGAAACAATGTCTGTTGGAGCTTGGCGGATTCAAGCAGAAAGAAAGCAAAACCATTGAACTCTACTATGATCGCTTGAATGAGTTGATATTCAAGTGTAATCGCTATGATGTTACACGCTCAACTCTTGAATTCAACCTTACCTTTCTGATGGGATTGCGAAAGGAGTGGAGGAACATCAGCCTAATGATAAAAAATCAGCAAAGTTTCGATGGCTATTCCTTGGGAGACTTGTACAATGTGCTCAAAGATCATGAGAGTGAAATCAATGAGATTGCAGAAGAAGGAAAGATGAGTCTAGGGGGTCCTTTGGCCTTATTGTTGAAAGTGCCAGCAAAGGACTCTGAGATCGAAACTGCTGAAAAAGATGATTTTGAAGATGAAGGATTTTTGGTGAATTCAGAGGATGAGGCTGTGGCATATTATTCAAACAATAAAGTGAAAAAGTTCTTCAAGAATCCTTTCAATCCAAAGTACAAAAGCAAAAATGAATTCAAGGGCAATAATTCATCTGCCAAAGGCACAAAAGTGGAGCCGATGGAAGAAAAGAAAGAAAGTAAGATTGTTGGTGAAAAGAGTGAGAAAAAGCTGAAGGGAGATTCAGGATTCAATTATAACTATTGCAATGGTGGAAACCATCTTGAAAAAAACTGCATGCTGAGAAAGAAAGAAGAGAAGAAAGAGAGGATAAAAGATGAAGCTTATTATGTTGAAAAAATTAAGGAACTGAGAGCTCGAACCAAAGGAATCTCTTTGGTTGCGAAGGGTGGAAATGAAAGTGATGGAACTTACCAAATATGGTCATCTGGATCAGATGATGAAGAAATGAGAAACCCGACTCATGTAGCAATGTTTTCTCAATTTGAAGAGGATGTGTCTATGGATGCGAAGGTCACAGGAAGGTGTTTTGTGTCAACCAGCGCAGATAAGTTACCTATGACTTCAAAGATACGTACTCTTCTTGAATCTTATGATATTTCTTCAAGTTCTTATCTCACAGTTTTATCTGATTTTGATGATACTCTCTCATATGTTAATGACACGCTAATTTTTGTTAGTAGTGAAGCTGAATGTTAAAAACATTGTTGTTAGACGTTCAAAATTGGTTGGAGACTAAGAAGAGTAGAAATGATAGCCTAGAGCTGCAATTGCAAAATATCACTCTAGATAGGGATTTAGTGAGGAGTGACAATATTATGTTAGTAAAACAAAGAAACATTTATTTTAATAGCGCTAAGAGATTGTATGCAAAACTAACTGAACTCCATCACTCTTCAGACATTTGCAAAGAACAACATAGGAAATTATTATCATTCTTAGAATATCAAAGGGAAAAAGTTGATGCTACTTCCTATGATTGAGAAAAGAAAAACTCTGGATTTGATAAAGTGTCTAATGATTCATATGCTTACGAAATAGTCAAAATTGATGAATGCTTGAATGTTGATGACTTAATGCATATTGTAAATGAAACTCTCACTAAAACTGAACAAGTTAAAATTTTGAACATGACTGAGAATTCGACATTAGACTCTCAACAAAATTTTGCTAATATTGAAGATGATTCTGATAATATTAGTGAAATTGAGGAAGAGGAAATTGTTGATTGTTCTCAATTATTTGTGATTATTGTCAATTCGATGGCAAAAGGCAAAGAAATTTGTCATGATTCAATGGAAGAGGTTAACAGTGATAAACCCTCTACATCGAAAGTTAGTGATCTTGTTGATCACGTTGTGGTGGAAGACTATGATAGTGATAGTGATGAGGAGGATGGTTCGATTGAAACAACTATTCCTAGAGTTGTTGTCAGACAGGTTCATGAAGAAACAAAACAGTTCGCAAACGTGCTGAACGACAAAGGTTCGCATTATCTTGAACCAAATTCAGTCGTCTATTTGTCATTCAAATGCACAG